CTTGGCTTCCTCAGCAGTGGGAAGGCTCAGTAGGCAGTTGTCCACGTAGAAGCTTCGCTCTATGGACTGCAACAATTCCTCATTCCCGAACTGCTGGCAGCGAATGTGCTTCTGCAGCGCAAAGATAGCGCAGCAGGGGCTGCATGTCGTCCCGAAAGGCAAGACTTGCCATTCGTAGACGTCCGGCGGGTCCCTTCGACGCATGTTCCTCCAAATAAACCTCAGAAGGGGTCTGTCCTCTGGTAGGAGTCTCACTTGGTGGAACATGCCACGTATATCCCCACTGATGGCGACTGCGTACTGCCGGAACCGGAGAAGAACTCCTAGTAGTGAGGCACCAAGGGTAGGACCTGGAAGCAACTGCTGGTTAAGAGAGACACCTTGGTATGCAAAGGAACAATTGAAGACCAACCTATATTTGCCGTTATGCTGCACGAGGTGGTGTGGTATGAACCATGACTCCTCGTCTACCTGCTGGCCTTCTGGTGGTACCCTGATGACATACCCTGAGACAAGGAGCTTCTGTATTTCAGCTTCATACACCTTAACCCTCTCGGGGTCTCTAATCAGGCGCTTCTCAGTGTTCCTGAGGCTGGACAGAACGGATTACGTAGTCCCCTTCAGCGGTGGAGCGTCTGGAGCACGAAGGAATGGAGTAGCGTAGCGCCAGACTCCGTCAACTTCTACTCGTCGCGTCCTGGTCTCCAACATGTCTGCAGCCATCTGATCCTGTTTAGACCGAATTATCACTTTCTTGCTGTGAGATGGAAGGACATCGAGCTGCCAGAGTCGATCGACATGTTGATAGACAGGGTCTCGCAGTGGTGTAAGAGAAGTGAACCGTACATCTTATAATATGTACTTATAATATAACAACATTATAAACAATGTAAGGTTCGATTACACTAGATGAATATTTAAACACAACAACGAAATAATCGGGAAGAAGTAAATAAACTTACATTCAATCACGCACATTAACACCTGAAGAAATGGCAGATCAAGCGGCTAGTAAAAGTGAAAGTAAATCGGAATAACGGAAACTCACGTCAACTAGCGGCACACATTCATAATAAAAGTCCTTCCCCTATAAACATACAGAGGGAATGTAGAACAATAGTTTTCGCTGTTGATACATTTTCACTTTTAGTCAACCTCTAATTTAAACATAAAATGCATGTAAAAGTCAGTAACTGACCAATGTGAACCCACCTGAAAAACTCATGGTCTTCAGCAAGCTCACCCACAAATTCAACTTGTGGTCGTGTGCCATGCAAAGTACGTTTTTCCAAGGGCAGTGATGGCACTACACGTTTTCTCCTAATCACCACAGTTGTAGTACTTTTCTGAGTAATATTTTCACTTCTGAAGTTACTTAACCTCAGCAATGTCATCCTCATCCTTTATAAAACAGATCAGAACAAAGAATAAATCAAAAATGTAAAAGCCCGTCAGCTATACAAAAGTGCAGAATGACCATTCACTCACATGAGCTGGACTGTAAGGTCGAGCAGGAGATGACAGCATCTCTAAATCTTCCTCAGAATCGCTATCCAGCAATATGTCACTGTAAGAAAAAAAGTGGGGGAAAAAAAATATTGATTAACTACATGTACTTACTGTATGGTTAGGGTTATGATTAGGATTTGGTTTAGGGCAGGGCTCTTCAACTTGGCTCCTGGAGGGCCGGTGTCCTGCAGAGTTTAGTTCCAATCCTACTTAAACACACCTGACCAAGTTAAGCAAAGTATTCAGGACTATTTAAAAATGATGAACAGATGTGCTGGATAAGGGTTGGAAGTAAACTATGCAGATCACTGGTCCTGCAGGACCGGAGTTGACTAGCCCTGGTTTAGGGTTACTCGCATGTAATTATGCATAATTAATTATTACAATAGTAAGTACATGTAACGTATCAAGGATGCACCTCATAATAAAGTGTGACCGGATTGTTTTTTGGAGAAACAAGTATGTGAACTTTCCTAAATATGTGCAAACAATTATTATTATTTTTTTGCTTTAGTTCAGTCAAATTACATACAACACCTTTAAACAGCAGAAACAACAAACCTCAATGGTGTATACAAACACCCTGTACTTGGTCCTGCTGCATTTGGCTGCTGAACTTGTGCCTATAAATAAACAGTCACCACATAGTCACTAAAAGTCAATGTAAATTATTATTTATTGCAATGGAACCTGTATTTGCAGGAAACAAATCATGTTTCTTTAAACTATTATGAATAATGGCTATAATAACATTGTGCATAGCAATTTAAACTCACAGCTTGTGGTGAAGTTGCCTGAGGACATGTGTCACAGTCTTCTGCAATTGTCTCCAGGTCATGTCTGTATAGAAATATGTTATGCAAATTTTCAGAGGAAAAACATCCTTTAAATGTGTGACTCTGGTTTGTGAGCCCAGGTGGCTTACAAAAAAGGAACTGCAAGAATAATTTTTATTGCAATAATGCTATTGATTACTTACTCTTCAGTTTCTGACAATGAAGCAGATGAGTCTTTATCTTTGTCTTCAGTAAGGTCCACTACTGTGCTGCTATCGGTCACGACACAGGCTAGAAGACACAGATAATTAGTAAGAGAGTCAGGCTAGGTTCAAGGTTGTGAACTGTAGACCGGACGTCGATCTTGTGTGAGGTGAGCACTGATAAAGGGGAGCTTGATTAGCTGCAGCAGGTGCGGGGAATCCGAATGCAGGTGATTGTGAGCATCGGTGCTGATGACTGTGATGACTGAGGTTGAGAACAGGTGTGAGCCGGGGAGGATTGTGGGACATGGAGTCCAGAGATGGTGACTGGTGACAGAGACTCCCTGACATTACCTCCCTCTCCCGGAAGGCGCATCCCGCGCCGTAACATATCCACCGGGGAGGGGGGGGAGGGCGCCCTGGAGGCTGGTCCAAGACGGAGACACGGGAGGACTCCAGGGTGGATCAGGGAGCCATGGCGGGACAGGCAGTCCCAGGAGCCATGGCGGATCAGGCAATTCGGGAGGCCTTGGCAGAGTAGGGAACAATACTTTCCCCAAAAAATACTTGGGAAAGCTTACGGGCTCCAAGGCCCTCTCAGGGCCAAAACCGGGGATCTGGAGCCCTCCCTGGGCTTAACCGGGGATCTGGAGCCCTCCCTGGGCTTAACCGGGAATCAGGAGCCCTCACTGGGCTTAACCGGAGATCAGGAGCCCTCACTGGGCTTAACTCGGGGGCAGGAGCCCTCCCTGGGCTTAACTGGGGATCTGGAGCCCTCCCTGGGCTTAACCGGGGATCAGGAGCCCTC